TAATGAGAAAGAAATTTTGCAAGGACCATATAATTATTTATCCAAGACCTACTTACTGTTACTGGTTTACTTTTAGGACTCAAAAATGAACTTGAGGTGTGAGGAAAGGCGACAAAAATAAAAAAGGTTCTCCTTTACCTTTGCCACTGTCACTGTGCAATAGTGTGCATCAGTGTGGAATTCTGTATAGTTAATATATTCTCATGTTAATATATGAAAACGTATCGAAAAATCAACCCTACCACCGCGTTACACCACCTCACCTTCCACTGCAGTGAAATCTAAAATTGTATTAAAATTTAATAGCGATAACGTATCAAGATTTCAATCACAGAAATTCGGGTATGAGTATTTAAAATTCATCATTTGGTCATTTTGATGCATGAACAAATTAGACAGACAATTAATTTTATCGATAGATAAGCGCGCTGCAAATATTAACGATAGGTTAATAATAAAAGAAACATTTAAAACGGTAGCGGAATTTTAGGACCAGCACTTAAAAAAGTAAGCTAGAGGTTCTGTGATTTTAATACTTAATTTTTCTAACGTTATATTGACCAAACACTGCGACACTTAGCGGCTACCCAGTGCACGTGTCAGTTCAATGGCTTAGGACCGAATCGACACTCCTCCGAACCCGCATGCCGCTGGGAACACGCCGGCGGACTCAGACGAACAACCTAAATTTTCTCTCAACCGAATCCACTCATACCTCCTTCAATACTGAAAGGATCAGCTCGAAATTTTTAATATAAGTATGTATTATCATTGTCCTGCGATAGAAATAAATACCGATTGCTCTATAGTCAATGGAGTCTTAGAAACGACGAAATAGTTACATTTTAAATATTTAGATGGGATGAGTGACATCATCGGAAATTCGGAAGGATTGTAAAAAAATTGTTTCTTGGCGTAAAGATCCAAATATATTTTAGACATCCATCACAAATTGTGCAAGTGATAAAAAAAAAAAACTTTAACTTAATATACCGTTCATATGATTTGCAGCAAACATTCCAGTTCATTACGACTAACAAAGAGATCGCCCATGAAGGTAGAAAATAAGTGACAGATGAGCCTCAGATGAGGCTTATTGAATTGACTCATACCACTCAGTTAATAATTATAACATCAGATCTTTTTAATGAAAACATGAGTGTTGATTTCAACATATAACAAATATACACACCTTTAGAATAAAAATGAGCTAAGTGCGTCATTTTATTTCTAATTTTAATAATAATTGGCACCATCGCGTAGTAATGCAGCTATGCAGCGTCGACTGTCACCGGACAATGCGGACATCAATCAGTTGCAGACATGCATGCGTGGTAAATGTTTGTGTATCATTTGCTCCTCCAAATGTCCTCGGCAGTGTGCATCACGTTGAACTCAGTTGGTGTTGGCTTAGTCGTGAGACGCTATTACTTCCTATCGTTTAGTTCGTTTGTTTAATTTAACTTAGAGACAAATTGTTAAGGAACAAACGCTTCTTAAAGTTAGTAATCTAATTGAATATTTCGGGAGTCTGTTGCCCAAAGTCTGTAAATAAAATGGAGATAGTAAAAGTAAATTTTAAGTAGTGAGTACAAATTTTCTCAGAGTAGTGGTTAGACTTCATGAACTACCTAACCGTCGAACGTCCAGCCTCCTGAGCTCTTCTTCGACTTGCAGTCAACCAATCGTAATTATGTCCATCTTTTACTAAAAGTTCTAATTTAACACTGATTTGGGCTAGAAATACTTCTCAAAATTCAGAGTATTTTGATCGAATTGTAAGTTTGTATATTTTCGTGGGTCAGGACTCAAGACTGACTAGACTGTTGCCTGAAGACTGAAGAGTGAATACTACTTATTATTTACGTTATTGATAAATGACTAAAAGGCAGTTCAGAACTTCAGACCCAGACTATGTCATTGTTGTATTGTGAATAATTAAGAATGATGGTTTTCCGGTTTGAAGCCTCGAAAGTTAATTTTATTGTGCTTTTCTATTCGCCGTCGCCCGTCAATATTTATAATGCATAATTTTCTGCCCACTGCCCTGAACAGCTCCTGCTGTGAGGCACTCAACTCGCCACTCGTCATCAAAAAAAAAGTTAAAAACCGTATGATACCGTACGTACCTACTCGTCACTCAGAATTTGAGTCAGAAATACGATTTGTAGGGTTCGATTGTCACGTAATCAGTAGAAGCTTTTTCCATCAAGCTAGAAAGTTTGGACTAATTTTTGTTAACAAAATAGATCGTTTCTTTTCAAGGCCGGTGACTTATTCCTCTGGCATATACGCCTGACGATAGTTGAAAACTTGTCTAAAACTAAAAGAATTATTGGGTTTATACACGTGTGCGTTTAACTAAGCCACTTTATCGAAAGTGAATTAATAGTAAAGATTTGCCAGTTATTTATTTACTTTTAAATCGTGATTCACGTGGTCAGTTATAGTGCCAAGTAAATGATTCGTGCCAAAAAAATATTCCAAAAAAGAATATCCGCATTGATAGGTATTTATATTAGTGCTACAACCCCTATAAATACTCGTATTTTGTATGTTACTGGCGTCGGTCGCACCTGCATGTCTCCTGAAACTCATAAATCATGTTTAAGTGCTGATTAACCTACTTTTTTCTCAGATTAATTATTGAAAAGCTACTGATCTCTGTAACGATGACTCCTCATCCTGTGCTTGAATTTGCATTCAAAGACGTGCGAAAAAAAGATAACGGTTATTTGGCCACTTGTAAATTGTGCACGTTTGGAAAAAAAACTGTGAAATTTCCACAAACTAGCAAGAGCAATTTAGTGAAACATCTAGAGAGACATCACCCTAATGCTTATCGCGAATACTGCAGTCGATTTGTCAGAAAAAAAGCACCAGTGTCTAAAACCAAAATGACTAATTCGATGACTGCTTCTTCCGCAACTGTTCCAACTCCAGCATCAAATGACCTTCCTTTTGACGAAAATATGGACATAGACCATTCTGATTTGGCAGCATCACAAGATTCGCAACTCCTGCCAACAACTTCTTCCGCCTCACCTGCTAAATCTTCAACTCCTTGTCATCCGTCACTACGACCGTCAGCGTCAGAGACGACGCTTTTACCTACAGCGTCTCCCGACTCACCGGCAAAAACTCAATCCACGTCTAGCCAATCATTTGATACAGCGCCTTTGCCAACAACGTCTTCCACCTCACACGCTGAAACTCAATCAATTCATAGTCAGCCGTGTGAGACAACGTCTTCCGACTTACCTGCAAATACTCAATCAACGACCAGCAAATCATCAGAGACAAGGAGCAAAAAAGTGCAGCAAATTTTCATCTCCACACCTAAGTGTGAATGCTGCTCCGAACTGAAAATCATTAAAAAATTCGTCAAGTTGACCTTGGAAGCAACACTGAAAGCTTGCAAACATGAAAACAACGACTGCTGCTGCAAGAAGATGAGCGAGGATATGGGAGTAAGAACCGACCAACCTCCGATTGATAGCTCAAATAATACGCTTGAAAATTACGATTCAAATTTCCTGGCGCAATACGATGGCGATAACGATGCCATTCGATATTTTTGTAAGGTTTGCATGCGTCAACGAAATACCAACAGAGGTCGTCGTAAGGTTGGCGAATCGTGGACTGATGGCATGACCTTCAGCGACAACAGAAGCAAAAATGCTGCTCAAAAGAGGCACCTGTTAAGTGTTCAACACGTGGAAGCTGTCAAACTCGGACAGCGCGATGAAACACGTCAAATCAGGCATGGACGTCCGACTGCAGAAGAGCGTCAAAAAGCAACCAAGAACACAATGATCGCTGGTATATTTATGGCCGCCCATTGCTTGCCTTTCAGATTATATACTTCTTTGTGTGCACTGTTTTCCATTGTCTGTCCATCTAATTTGAGTAATCCCCTGGGCAACCGACATCAAAACTGTGCATTCTATCCAATTTTAATTTCTTCAATCCAATTTTCCAAAATATTAATACACTCATTTACACTGGGACTGTGAATTGGTTGATGATAACTTCATTAACTTGACTTGGCAGTATGGTGTCTGAACTAAAAAATTAGCAAAAACTGCTGACTGCAAATGAATTTGACAGAAATTCCCATTTAAGTAGGCATTGCTGATTGCAAAGATTAATTTTTTTCTGAAGTGTGAATTCACTGAATTGAGCTAGCCTATCCTGCCATTTTTTGAAGAAATGAAATTTTTTCTAGTCTTCTAGATTGATTAGCTATAGCCTATATCTCCCAATACTATCTATTTTATAATTTTATTTAAAAAAATTATCAAATTAAAAACTTGAAAAATTTATATATTAATTTCTAAAAGTATAATTATCAGTAGAGTACAAATAGAAATGATGATTATCTTTATCTTTTATCAATAGAAAAGTTAGCCTATATTTGATATAAATATCTTTCAACAATCAATAGTATCTACAATTATGCCACACTCAGGATGATGTATGTTTTCGGTGAATTTTCCCGCACATTTTCACTTTTTTTAAGCTATTGCTGTGCACAGTTGGTGCAATGTAATGAAAATTGATTATCTTCGCGCACATGTTCGCGCAATCCCGGCCATCTTTATTTTAGAAGAAATTTTCTCCAAAGTCATATGGCAACACTGAACACCATCTGTTTACATTTCGTATGTATAACAGCCGCACTTTACGATTACCGTACGTTCCGTATACGACAAGGCGGACAACCGGAAGAGTCAGAAGTAACCCGGACATGTCTTACATTTTATTATTATTGTCAGTTCGACTCGCGTAGTCAATATACTCGCTTATATTGTCGACTAAAATAGTAGAACTATTTTAGCTTTCTAAAGTACGGCGCATGGCGCATTTTTTTACCAACGTAGTATGGCGCACCGCGCAGGTCGTTAAAATGACAAAATAAATTCCCGCGCACCTGGCACATCTTCCTGACCATGGCAATTATGAAGCAATTACTTCTACTAATGGTAAAACAACAGAGCATATCTGCAGCTGAGGCTTCATCACAGATTTGAGATAAGGTTGACACTTAAGATTACATGAATTTTTGAATGTTAAAACATATATTAATCACTTTTCATCTTATATATATACAAGTTTTTAGTAAATAAAAGTTTCCAGGTGACAGGTCTACAATTGTGGTTAATCTTGAACAAAAAAATACATCCAACATGAGTGCTGGAAACCCCCAGCATCAAAGCCTTGATGTGAGTATGGCACATTGAACCTCAATTTATTTCTTTCCTATTCATAAAAGTCCCAAGCAGTTATTGAACATTCTAAACCAATATTCATGGTCTAATTATTATAAAAATTTACAGAAACCTTCATCTTTTTGCAATGTAATCATTTTAGAAGAAATTTCCCATTTATGTAATAATGAATTCACTACTACTTCTTGTATGAAATTCATTCATGAAGGTTCAGTGATGAATGTTTATATTGAAAAACCTTATGATGCTAATTCATTATCAAACAAAAATATGTATTTGTACTAATATTTTCAAATTTATGTATTAATGTTCTTCAGGTAGAAGAGGTGAATTTTGTGGACACTCTGAGTGCCCACAACTATGGGGATGTGAGTGGGGAGCTCACCCTGCCTGGCACAGTGGGGAGAGAAGACCCATCACAGTACAACACTTTAGACGAGCCTATAAAAGATACTGTGGTGAGTGTGGTATTGTTGGCTTGCTACTGTGTGGTGATTTGAGTATTTATTAGCATAGGTATCTTATATCAGTTGTTGTTATCAAACTTCATCTCTACAGAACATTTGATTAGATTTAAAGTTTTGTATTTTTTGTGATATTCTGTAATCCAAGACTGGAAGAATCTTGAAATGAAGTTCTTGTGATACGCATAAGTTTCTTATGGTAGCAGATATTGCAAATAATAATTTCTACTTATCTTTTGTTTCACTTCAATCTGTGATGGCTCCCAAAACTGTATCATTCTCTCATTGATTTTGTAACTTTTATTCAAGTGTAGGAATGTTTAGATCTAAGTATGTAGCAGTGAAAAATTTCTGCTGTGTGATGAGTGGCGTGTTATGTCATATGTCACTGTTTAGCTTATGTGTTATGATACCATTTGCACATGTAAAGTACCGGTATTCATTATTTTTTATGGCTTCCTTTGTTAATGTGATTTGGTCTTTGTTGGCTAGATGAAAATTTTCTAATTTAGTGGTACATATTTAAGTATGACAGTTTTATAATGATATGACAACGTTTTGTATATACTCCAGTAATTATTCAAACTTTTGAATTATGTCTTTCGTAAAATTTTATTACCATTGCAAGTCAAATATATTGAACATTTCAGATGCGAGACTTGAAGGCCGTTGGAGTGAAGTTTTACCACGTCTTGTATCCCAAAGAGAAGAAATCATTACTTAAAGAATGTAAGGCTTTATTTCTTTTATATAATGCAATTTAAATTTTTGTTATGTACAGGGTGTTTCAGAATTAAGAAACCCTTTTAATTTGTTAATAAATAAAAAACTAAGAACGTTATGAAGTTGAAACTTGTTTTATTTAAAAGAAGAACATTTTTATGGTAATATTGTATCATAGTTACGTCATTATCCTGTATAGCTTGCTAAATTTGTGTTTAATTATCAAGCCTTAAATTTTCATCATGATTTTAAATAAAACAAGTTTCAACTTCATAACGTTCTTAGTTTTTTATTTATTAACAAATTAAAAGGGTTACTTAATTCTGAAACACCCTGTATATGGTATGTACAAAACAAAGGTACCTATATTTTATGCATTAGTTTATATCACATTCAAAGTGATTGGAAAAAATTGTCAAATTCATCAAAATTGATGAGTTGTTTTTAATATATAAATAGTAACTGAAAAAAGTGTAATTAACAAGTCACTTGTAAGCAGTTACACTAATTTTTTTATCCCTTGTAGCAATGGAGTGTGATTTTCAATAGCTTATTTGAATGTGTAAAGTATCCAAGTTATTTTTTGCTCTACTTGTTTTGACAGGGGACCTGTGGGGACCACTGATCCTCTGCACCTTCCTTGCCGTGTGAGTTTTAACCTGAAACACAGCATGGAAAATGCTAGAGGCATTACTAGCTACGGTACCTTAAATTGCTACAGTACGGTACTTATTGGCAATTCCATCACGCAGTAACTCCGGAAAATGCTAATTTTTAACACGTTTTTCTTAGCTTAGCTTCGCGTTTGTTTGTTTGTTGTTAACATTGACAACAAAAATTAGCCCACTTCTAATTGTTCTAGAGATCTGAAATTCGGCATTTGTGGACTAAAAAGTAGAAAATAAATTATGGTTCGCCCCAAAAAAATGTGGGTCGGGCTGTACGTTCACCATCAAATTTCCAAAATTTAAGTGTTGTGTGCTTTTCGCTTTAATCATAAATCTGCCCGACACACGTTTTTTTGGGGCGAACCATAATTTATTTTCTACTTTTTAGTCCACAAGAAAAGCGTGGTTTTTTAAAAAGTTTATTTTAAGTATTTTATTTTCTACTTTTTTAAAAGTTTGTTTTATTTATTTTATTTTTAACTATTTTATATTTAAAAAGTTTTATATTTAAAAATAAAAATAAAATTTTATTGCACATGTTTAACATTGGAGAAACCAGTTGGCCCCTTTAGAAGTGTTGTCTTTAAAAAGTAATTTTTAAACGGATATCATTTTATTAATTATTATGCCCTCCACAAGGATGCTGCAGGGTGAGGCGCAGAGCGTGGTGCTGCCAGACGGGCGCGAGATACACGACGGAGGGCCGCAGTTCGCTGAGGTCTTCATCATTGTGTGGGCGGGCGCCGCGGTCGTCACCCTTAACTCCAAGCTGCTGGGTGGCAACATGTCAGTCCTTACCTTCCGTTTGTTGTGTTGCAAACAATATCTTATATTAATGCAATGGAAAATTTTGCGATTTATTGAAGGGATGGGAAATATTCCCTCATATAACTGCGCTCACATTCGAAGTTTACTGTGATTCATTTTCCATCCACTAATTTTAATTTTTTTTTGAAAAGCAATAGTTGTGTATCTTATTATAAATCCAAGCTCACAATCTTCACATTTTATTTTGGATTTGTTTTTCTCCTACTCTAGTCATTAGAGTTAAGACTGTAAATCCGAATATGAAAAGATAGGTAGTTCAGTTATATGGTGATATTTATGGCCTTCAGTATGAGTACCCTAATGCTCCTGAACCCAGCCACTTGTTAGTGTTGCTAGTAAAACAGCAAAATCACATACCTTTGTTTACATTTAACTGTATTGCAGATCGTTCTTCCAGTCGGTATGTGTGTTGGGCTACTGTCTGCTGCCCGGCTGTTTATCCTTGATCGTGTGTCGCATACTGCTTTTCTTCTCGCACTCGACCGTGGCATTCATCATCCGCTTCCTTGTATCATGCCTGGGTTTTGCTTGGGCAACGTTCGGTGAGTGTTGGATGAATCATTAAATGTTGTATCACTACGCCATAACGCCAGTGTTAAATTTTGTACTAATGTGTGCGAATATACTTTAGCGTACAAGACGGAATGTATTGCGGTCTAAAGCAGGACCGTAACACTGATCAATACTTATGAGAAATTAGAGGCTTAACTTTTCTAAAGCGCTCATAAATGACATATAATTGACAACTCTTGCCTTGCGTTCACAGCTGCCATGATGTTCCTGAGTGACTCGCAGTTGCAGGCACGTCGCGGCCTCGCAGTTTACCCCATCTTCCTGTTCTACCTCGTCATCTCCTGGCTCATCGTCTCCAACACCAGCTGATCTGTTAGTCCAGCTCATCGGTGTAGCTCCACCTAAGTCTGATAATTGAATGAAAATTAGGCTTATTATTACTTCCTTTACTACCGGTACCGTACTGATATTCGTGTATGTCTTCATGCGGGATATTTTGGATTGTTACTTTTTTAGGTACAATTCTTTTTGGTACAAATAGAAACAAGAGCGATGATTGAGGCCTGACGTAATGCCGGTAATTCAGAGTCAATCTTAATAACAACTCAGACTTTGTATTTATTAGGTGTGGAGGAACAAATTAGTTAGCAGATGCAGTGCATACAAACCTTAAGAATCCTTGAAGCAGGTAAAGATGTGTTTCTTGTAACCTTCTTGGGTCATTCAAACGTGATTTTCTGCCCTGCTTTTTAAAAATTTTCTGCCAAAACGCTCGTGCAATATAAAAAAAAAAAGTTTGCTCGCTATCTGAACCTGCGTTTGACGTGGCTTAATGTTCCAGCTCTTAATAGTTAGGGTCTCACCATCATGGAGTTTTTAATTAATACCTACCTTACGCGCTAGTAAACTTGCAATCGAGCATCTCTTCTTCTATCAACCAGATAAAATTTTTTGCTGTTTTCTTTCAACTTTTGTAGTAAAATTGTGCTAATTTTGCTATAGTGTATTTCATGAAATCAAATAACTTGGGAAAATAAGTTTCTGAATAGCACTTTTTGTGTACTGTGTGGCTTGTTGATGTTGGAGCAGAGCTGAAACTTTGGAAAAATATGTGTCTTCTTGTAGAAATGTACAGTAGTGCTCGAGTTAGGTTTACGGTGTCGATTATTATAATATAATCTTATATATATTCAAATGTGCACCTGTTTTCAGCGTGTTCATGAGATTTCGGCTTCTATTATATCTATTACTGATAAAATATTTTATGAGTGTTATGTAATTTTATTTGTAGACTTTTTCTAGTTGGTTTTGAAAAAATATTGTTGCATTCCTAACATATTTTGCGCACCACACTTCCACCTATTATTAGGTTTTATTTTCACTTCGGTATGCGGCGTCCATAACATGTCGATATCATCAGTGGGTCGATATCATCATTTCTCATGGTAACATGATTACCATGAGAAATCTTTGGTAATTTTGGACTGATATAATGGTAGCCAATGTTTCCTGTCATCCAGAGGCGATTGTAATCTTATGCGAATAGTGAATTTTTTCACTTCTTCCCGGGAAAATGCTGCTTAAAATATAATTATTCATGTACTTTTTTCATATTCTTATGTATCCGATTGAGTGGCTATCTTTTCGTTACATTTAATTTATTTCCTAATTTATTGCATTCAATTTTTGAGTAATAACCTCGCATTATTTTGTCTCAGAGCAAGGCAGAGTCCAGCAGATGATAAGCTATAGGAAGCATAACTATCAACAAGAAAATATTTGTTAGTAAAGTTGAACGTTTATTGCCCCCGTTTTATTTTCAACTCGTGCGTTTATGGTACTGACATGAGAGCGTAGTCCCTTAATGTTTATATCGTCTACGACTATAGAACGTATTCCGAAAAATTTATCAGAGTTGACATCACCAGCTGTGTTGTGCTGTATTTATTTAAGGGGTATTTAAGTACAATGACAACGCACTCTCTCTTTGATCCGTTAATGACGATCTAATCTCGTAGTGCTCTTTAATTCAATTCCTATCAAGAATGACACATGGCGCAAGAAACGGCCGTACTTGGAGGTATAAATGTCTTATTTTTAATTCAAGTTTCAATCTGTAATAATTTTTCTAATTTGTAAATTCGTTGGCATTGATCGGATGTCGAAGAAGCCAATGTCTTGAGTTTTCTGATAGTGGGTTTGTTGGAGAAATTTTTACTCTTTAAATTAACTGGAAGAAATGTACTGGTTGGTGGACATTCTGGTAGTGACAGATCAACAGGCTGTGATGATTCATCTATGCCCCGCTGATGATTCAAAGGTATAGTAGTCAATAACAAATTATTCATGATAAAATATTGTGAAACAACTGCAAGTCTTCAGGTTCAGCAGGACTTCGAATATGCTACGCAGATCGCCTTGATCGAGCCGCCAACCTAATTTGTGATTGCAAAATATCAACTAAAAATACACGTTTTGAAATATTAGTCAATATTAGTCATTAGTGAAACGCAAGTTAATACATCCAATAAACTGCTTGGGCTGATCAGACGCTCCTACGAGTACCTAGATAGAGAAATGATGAAGCTGTTGTTCACCTCTGTCGTGCGCCCGAACCTAGAGTTTGGAAACGTTGTGTGGTCACCGAGACTTGAAAAGGACAGAAATTTCTGAAGATATTGTTGACGCTCCGAGTATAAACGCGTTCAAGAACAGACTAGACAAGGCCATGCAGGAGCATATGTTTAGTCTTAAAATGTCTCGTACCCTACGGAACAACTGATATCTACGTAGAATCGATTTTAAATCTACCGTCCGTTGAAAAGATCTGATCAAAAGGCCAGTCTAGTCAAGAAAAGCACAAGAATCGGCGACAGGCCTATCCAGGCCTATTCTTTACTGCCGAAGATACTATACTATACCATACTAGTCTTCTGACTGGTGTCTTCGGATAGCTGAGGAAATATCTTTTAGGTATCCTCGATCGTTACTTCTAACACGTAAAATAGCACTAGAGAAATGCTGTGCTTGAGACAGTCTCGTTATCGATAGGAGAGAACGGAAAGGCGCTCCGCTGCAACTGAGAAGTTGAGACACATACAATAATGTTGTTATGTATGGGTGCAACTTGAACATCGCCGATATGCCGCAAGTGAGAACATACGTTTGGATTGATTATTTTGATCTCTAAGACACATTTCTGACATTAAAGGATGTAGAATATAGATCAACTTCAAACTATCGTCAGTCATGAAAAGATCGGGTCAAATGACACGATATTAGATCTTCTGTGAACAAGGCACGAAAAGATCATGAATCGGCGATCGAAGTTCGAATGTTTGATTCAGATTGAATGAAAATGACTATTGACTATTGTTAACTAAACTAATAAACTGAAAATGCATCCTAATAAGCAAAATGCGGTTCGCCATTGCGCGGAATCAAGGAACTTCGTGGAAGTTTTGATAAATTTGGTGAAAATATTTGAGATTACATAATTAATTCTTTACTCTGTCGTCTGAAAATGAGAATCATTAGAATCCGTAGAAGCATGATGATTTATGTTGCCTCAGCACTTAATAAAATTAACGTAGGTGCTAGAGGGAAATGTCCCATTTTGGGTAATACATGCCTCTGTGCACTTGCAATGCTGGCAAAAAAACGAATCAAGTCGCGTTTTAAAACATTTAACAAGTTTAAAATAGCTTGTTATTCGAAAGTTATGCGCACTTTCCGCTGTCGATCGGCTCTAATATACTGGATTCCGCACCTGTTAGGCTGTTACCACACATCGGCTCTAATATATACTATATTCCGCACAATATACTATATTCCGCACAATATACTGTATTCTGCGCAATATACTGTATTCCGCACAATATACTGTATTCCGCACAATATACTGTATTCTGCATCTGTTGATGGTCACAGTGCAACGTTTTTCATCGCCAGGACGCATTGACTGGCGCACATTGTGGCTTGGACTGAGTCGTCTGTAAAATACAGAAGAAATTAAAACTAATGGCATGATTGTGAACATGTATGAATTTTATACAATATTCCTATGCCTGAAACTCGTCTAGACCATTTCGGACGGCAGTCAGAGCACTCAATAGAAGTTAAAAAAATATAACTCAGTACTCACTGCAGTGAGTGACAGTGAGCGCATTTTCTCGTCGACGAAAACGTGAAGTCACGGACAGATGGACGGACATGACGAGTACAATAGCGCCTTTTTTCCATAAATGAGAAAATGCGCTAAGAAGAATTCAAAATTATATCAGTACTCACTGCAGTGAGTGACTGAGAGCGCATTTTCTCGTCGACGAAAACGCGAAGTCACGGACGGACGGACACGACAAGTAAAATAGCGCATTTTTTCCATAAATGAGAAAATGCGCTAGAAAAATAAAAAATATGACTCAGTACTCACTGCAGTGAGTGACAGAGAGCGCATTTTCTCGTCGACGAAAACTTGAGGTCACGGACGGACGGACGGACAGGACGAGTCCAATAGCGCATTTTTTCCATAAATGAGCAAATGCGCTAAAAAGAATAAAAAATGCAAGTCACAATTATGGTCGTTATGAAGGCGTCGACCCTCATTGCGGCAAACTGATGGGCTGTAGAGATCAAGCTTAACTTATTTTTATTTGTTCCGATAATTGGAATTAATATATTTTCACGGAAGTTGCCGATGTACAAAATATGATCCTTACCTACGAATAGAGGCTAGTTTGAAATTGACTGAAAGCCATGAGAATTGAACATATGAAACAATTATTTGTTAAATTGTAATATAGTGTTTTGACTTTGGCCACTTAATTATTGATCCTTCGAAAACCTGATAGCACAAATGCTGGGTGTGAACTAATAATTTTGATAAGTGTCGTTTATGATCTCACTATTTCAATTGATAAACAATATTTATGTAATATACAGGCTTTATTAGATATTGTGTAAGAGGATTGTAGATACATTTCATTCTTCTAGAAATTTAAAGTATGTACGTATTTCTACGACGATAAGCCCATCGTAACAGGCTATTATGTCGAAAGTTTCACCTGAGATGCAAGTACCAAGTTCAAGGTGACTTCTAGCTCTGTAGAAGAAAGCTGCAGGGTAAATAAAAAAAAAACGAAACTTTCTAAAAGCGAGTTCGGCTGCAACCGAACGACGTCGCCTCCTCCGGTCAACGCACTTGTGAAAATCAGAGGCGGTACATCAACTGCCGTTCTCCTGCTCCTGAAATGGAATAGAATATTATTATTTTAACATTATTATTAATAATATAAAAATTATTATTTTAAATTTATTAGAAATTGAACTGAAATTATAACCCGAGGTTACACAACTGCTTTACGTACAAGAATTTTAATGTTGAAGAATGAGAATTTATCATAGTTCATTACCTTTTTTTTTGTTGCCTGACACAGAGTGTCAGGCAACAAATATGAAGTGACGTAATAACGATTTTTAAATGTAAAGTCATGGAGTTTGCGATCCATAATAAATGTGAAAAATGTTCGCAGAAGCCGAGTTATTGGAATGACACAGCATTTTCACTGAAATCTAGAAAGAATTTAAATATTCGACACAATCAACCATGGGTAATTGATTGAACATCAGAAATATACCCGAATTTCAGGTCCGCAGAATTTGTTGGAACACGTTAAGTGCACACAGGGGGACGAAGAAGAAAAATGCTACCGCATTTTCACTGGAACCTAGAAAAAAATAAATATTCGACACAATCAACCATAGATAATTGATTAAACATCAGAAACATACCCGAATTTCAGGTCCGCAGAATTGTTGGAACACGTTAAGTGCACACAACAGGACCAGGAAGCTGCAGGGTGTCCAGTTCAGTGAACCCGGTAGAGCATTCGTCCGCACTTGACGGTCGTGCGCTAAACTGTCATGTACGTCGCACGGCCGCTGCTGCTGCTGCTCAAATATTACGCAGTCACTTGCTCTGTTCTTACCGAGCACACTTTCGGGTTTGATGTTATTTATTTATGACACGTACGTCGTATTATTGGTTAATATTATTTAATATGGTCACACTCTCGAGAGACATGAGGTATTAGCATGTTTTGAGAATGATTCCTTGTTGATAATATAAGGAATAATCTTACCGACGATGAAAAAATCCCCGAATTTCTTGCAGACAATGCAATAAATTCCGTCAGAAGAGTATAGACAATTCTATACTATGGGGATTTTACCATTGGGACAATAATCTAACAAGAAATCCTTCAACAGTTTCTTTAGGCAACATTAAAATTTCCGACAGTAGAATTGAAGGCAAGTGAGAAATAGTTACTAGCTTTTAGTCTGTTACCTTCACGTTAAGAGCGCATACCTGAGCATAGCCGATTCCATGGTAGTCATGAAGCAAACTAACGAAGACCTAAAAAAATCGCACCCAATAATAATTATGAAAGAAGCAGTCGCACCTGCTCGAATCTGTCCTTGCATTAACAATAATAGTAAATCAAAAGTCAATCGAAAAGAATTAGTTTCAACAATTCCATAGTTTGCTTCTGCACTACAACGTGAACTACGAAATCTTCTTCATAGAAATACAAACACGGACTACGATTAATGTTATTGTTTTAATTCTCGCGGTTAGGATGGCGAGGTTGGGGAAATTTTGGATCTGTACAGTTATGTCAGGATATGAAAGTTAATGGAATTCCGAGGAGCCGCGACTTTCTTTTCTGGCAGCTGGAGAAAGCTGCACTACGGAGGGCTTTAATCTCGTGTACATTTGTATACACATTAGTGTAGGCTGGCAGA